ACGGTTAATTGAGATTCTGCTGGAGTGTTCAGACTGCTTTGCATCAGAGATTTAAATTGTAAAATTCTTAATGTAACCATGAATCTCAGATTAAAAACAATGTCTTGACAATTTCCCAGCCAGCCTCTTAGCAGCACCAAGAAGAAAAGCCTAACTATCTCCCTAATCTGTGCTGTGTGGCTCTCCATGAGTTGGATCATGTGTGAGAGGGACACTGGGACTACCAGGGGAATTTGGGGAGAACACCTGGAAATCCACCTCTAGCTGCCCTAGCAGAGCATCCTGGCAGCCTTCCCATGGAGCGGGTGCAGGGGAAACCTGGGTGAATTTGCACCACAGGGTGCGGGATGCCGACACCTAGGAAAGGGGCAGAAAGGAAGAATGGAGAGAAAGGAAGAAGCAGAGGGAGCACAGGGACCGACAGACCCGACCACAGCGTTGGGAGCCCTACATGACAAAATGTGAACCAAACACCTTCTCTGTGGCACCACCACTGCCTCCCAATCCACATCCCCTGAACCTTCTCCTCTTGACTTGGTCAAACAAATAGATGTAGCCAACATGTGCAGCTCAAGCCAAGCAGACACAGTGAAAGTGTTGACTACCATGAAGAGACCCATGAAAAGATTACGGAGCTCCTCATGGGAACGGAATAAAGACCAGAAATATTTTCAGAATTGGGACCGTAGCTAGTAATCATGTTTAAGAGGCATTTGGACAATGCCCTTAATAACATGCTTTAGCTTTTGGTCAGCCGTGAAGTGGTCAGGCAGTGGGACTAGATGGTTGTTGTAGGTCCCTTCCAAGTGAACTATTCTATTCTATTCAATTCTATTCACTTTATTTTGGGGAGGGGGGAAGCCTCCAGAAAGACTATTAAATACAGTAGCTGTTAGCTCTTGGTAAAGCACTAGTTTGAGCAGCCATGCCATTGGGGCCGCTGCATAGCACTGAGTAAACCACTTTCTGATCCGTTCTGCTAATAAGTCTGTTCGAGATAGACACTAGTACCTGATACATAGAGTAGTGTCCACATTTTAACTGAAATACTATTAAACCTATGCAGGTAGTTCCTCATCACTCCAACAGCGTAAAAGTGATAGAGAGTAGCACTGGGGCAGCGGCACTTGGAAGAAATCCCGGATGTTTTAAAAGCTGCATGTATATGACTTATTTCTTCCACTGGACATACAGATGAAAACCAGGGCAAGAGAGTGGATATCACCAGTTTATGCCAGCCGCTCGCACCAGGGGAAGCTTTTCTCTTTAGAGCAACAATTTAATTTTTTCTAAATGCCACCTTGTCAGACTTCCAGTCAAGGGGTCCAATTTAGAGTCAGTCACCTTTGGTGGACATTGGCACCTGCCCATCAGAATAGTGAGAAAACATGCTGTGGCCTTTGTTTTCTTGGCTATGAGACACAGACCTCGAGACATTTCACTCTTTTCTGATGCTACCTGTATTTCTCTCTCATGCACTTGAAAAGCCAGGATTTTTTTTCCAGTTCATTCCACAAAAGTCTTAGATGACCCTCGGTGGCCTGATTTTTAATCTGACATCTGGAAAGGTTTGCCCTAGGTCACCACACACGCTACAGTGCTGCATTATAGCAAGGGAGATGTGGAACATAGTGGGTCCCTGTGCTCAAGAACCCACCTAACTGCATGCACCTCGATAGCAGCCGCAGCCTGTGGCCCCACTTCTGTCCTCTGGTCTAAAAATAACGTCACCAAGAGGTCTGACAAATACAGACATCAAAATAGTACTTAGATTAATCACACTTAGAGCTGCATACATGTTACAGTCATGATTTCCAACAAGGCATTTTGCAACCCTTCGTAGTCAGCATTTGTCACTACCAACAGCCTACGGTTTTATTAAAGCTTTGGGCTCCCATCCTACAGACACGAGACTGCTCGCATATTGAAAGCCAGATAAAAGTACTACTGTCTGCAGCATGAGGGACTTGAATGGTAATTTCACTTGAAAAGGAGTTAAACTGTGGGCTACATATTCAATGGTGTCAAACTGCTTCTATGAAAAATTAAGGGGTATCAAGACTATTTTCTGTATTCTGTGACAGTGTGTAGAAATCAGGTGTGTTTTCTTTTCCCTAAGTAAAACTATGACATTTTCCACACCCTTCCTTCCTGAAATGACCTACTTTCATCATTGGTAGTAGTAAGAGAGAGTCTGAATTATTTGGAACTGATGATTATACTTTGACTAAAAGTTTAAATTTAAACAACTAAGAACAAAATGCTTTTGCTTTTTATCCCATGCATTTTATCTCAGAGTTTGAAAATGATAGCTGATTATGAAACAATTTTATAAGGGTTCCTAAGTTCACATTGAGATTTTCCAGTTGCTCTCTTGACATTAGCAGTACTAATATATCGAACACAAAGGTCTTATGCCAAATATTTGCAAGGATGTGCCTAAACCTCTTCTAATCCTCTTCAAATCTTGGTTAAAAAAAGTGAATTAAAAACATAGAAAATGAAGAGGTCTGGCTTCAGGTCTTCACTTCCAGTTATACAGGAAGACCTAATTTCTAGTGAAATCCCACGGGGCTTTGTGGGATTTGTGCCACCAGCCTTCCTCTGGTGGCAGAAAGCAGACAAACTTCCAGGACGCACATTTGCTCACAGCATGAGTCTTCCAGCATTTATCTGTTATGGATACCAAACACCAAACACTTTTCCTCCAGCCGTGGAAAAAGGCCAGTGCCTTTGACACAGTGTTACCAGCATGACTGATCCCATGAGTCATGTTTGCAATGGAATGAAAATCTCGACTCTCCAGCTCCAAGACCAGCCTCCCCCGCGCAGCCCCAGATGCAAAAGCCAGCAGGAACCACTCACTTACCCATCACGGCTCTCTCCCATATATCATGCCATTTCAAATCATTGCTGCATTTAAAAGAACCAAAGTAAGTACCTGTAAAATTCGCTTGAAAAGGTTAGGCCAGAAGAAGTAAGACACTTAACTTGAAGTCTAGCGGATGAACTCGGGGATGGATTTTGAGAGGTAAGAGGAAATAGGAAGCCACAGACACCCGCGTCATCTGGGTCATCCTAAACTCTCAACTCCCTGACAGCAGGGATGCGATGTGGCCGTGCAGCCCCCTCCCTCACCGGACAGCCACATCCAGCCCAGCACATAGCGTACCAGAGTCACCACTTGCACAGCAAAAAAAATTAACTGAAGCAAAAAAGCAAGCAAAACAACCTTTTGTTTTTTTTTTTTTTCTTTCATGACTGGCTTGTACAGCCAGAGATGTTATTTCTCTACAAAGAAGAAGATTGTTATTATTTTTCTCCTCTAATCCACACTTCTCAAGAGACTCTGTTAATCCCTATCCTTCACTGGGGAAAGCTTTGTACTTTATCTCTCTGCGGTTTGAATCGTTTATGTCTGGCCGTTTGAGGGAGCTGAAAGAAACATTTTAAAAGACCTGAAATTGTTTATGCAAAGAAGGCTAAAGGCATCAAGCTAGTTGACACTAGTCCTTCTGCATATTCGTAAAGGCAGAGATACGGGGAAAATGGGTCAAGGAGGCTGTGAACCTCAGTACTTCTGCAGTACTCACCAAGTGGTTCCCGCCATCCTTTAATACAGTTAGGAGAGGAACCCCCTCTCTCCTTTGCCTTGCTATATTAATCAAAGGATCAAGGTCCTTTGGATAGTGCAGTCTGAGGGGAAAACCCTTCCCGGTGAGAAGCAAACACTTCTCCTCTTCACTATTGGCCCGAACAAGACATCTAGTTTCACATTAAAAAAGGAGAAAATAATTCAGGTTATCTGGGTATGAAAACTAAGTTAGTGTCACGTCTAGATTATTAGAAAGGTAATTTTAAGAGGCTTCTGGTAAACTCAGATTTCTTCTTATCAGCAATATCCTGAGTTTGTGCTTCTCTGTTGCAGTAGGACAAAATAACACTTTAACCATCCAGTACAATTTTAAGTGCAGATAATATATATTTCAAGCAAAATATTTTGGCCTATTATCCCACGTAAATACAAGGTTTTAAAATAATAAATCATTCTGAACTGACTTCTACAAGGGTCATGAATTTCCATTAGTGATTTCTATTACGCAGAAATTCAGCTGATTACTATCTCATTCCAATAGTCAGAGAAGTTCAGGTATGTTCAGAGACGCATCTACCAGACGATCAGACTCTTGAAGACTGAAACATGAATGTCCTCTCCAGACCCTTCATATGGAAAGAAAAAAAGCCACATAAGCACAAATTCTAACTATTTTCATTCCATATTCCTGAGAATAGTAAAAACGCACAAATTGGTTTCACTTCTTCATAAATTAATTCACTGGATGAATGGGGAGAGTTTAGTTTTAAATGAGGACAAACTCACAGGAGGTTTTGATCCAACAGGTCCATTTCTTGCCTCTGATCAGAAGGCTACTGCCCATGAATTTTAATGGGAGATGCTTTAACACAGTATAAGCATGAAAAGCTTAATAATATCATGGTGGGTTTTTTGTTTTTTGTTTTATCCAAAGTTTTCCTTAACTTTAGAAAGTTAAGGAAAGCCATATTACTGATATTAACTAAAAGGCATAAATTCTTAATGGCAAAGTTACAAAAAAAAACCCCCAAAAGCTGTAATACAGAAAATCAGTCCCAGCTCAAGAGTGAGACACAGTACTTTCACTTGCTCAGTTTACAGTTACCACAAGAGTTTTAGTCACCTGCATTTACTAATTTCAGCCTTGCTGGATCGATATTGTTGTGGCCAGCCTCCATCCCTGCGGTTCCCTTTGCTGACTGATATAACAAACCAAAATGCTTCAGGTAGAGTTTGCCTCGCGTTAAGCGCCGTTCGCCCTCCTCTCCGGAGTCAGGCTCATCTACTACCAGCCCATTCAGAGACCCCAAACCAAGAGCAGCAGAAAACTTCCCATGGCATCGTTTAACACGCCGCGGCTCCCCACTCTTCTGCTTTCGGACACCCAGACCATCAGGCCGCTTGGATGCTTGGCTACAGCCAGGCACGATTCACGAACAGCAGCGCAACAGCCAGCCACCCTTCCCAAACTCCCCTTTTCCGTTTCGACCTGCGGCGCAGCAGCAGCAGCAGAGGCCTCTCGGTTTGGCTGCGCTGGTGCACTCACAATTGTCTCCGAATTTTTCCTAGCTCCTTATTTTTCCGCCTCGCTCTCTAATGGAAATGTATTAATGTTTTGCAACCTGCTCTGCGAAACAGCTGCCCAATTCAACGTCTCCTCCACTCTATTAGCTCTGGAATGTGCTCTGTCTTACCATTTATTTTGGCAACAATAACTCCAACATGTTTTTATTTGCCTTTCAGTGAGTCTTTTCTGTTCTTTCTGTTCTGCTCGGGGTTTTTTTGACTCTCAATGACTGCTGAATTTCTAGTCACGCTGTATTAAAGATAAATTAAGGTGCAAGCCCTCAGTTTTCATTCCTGAGCTAACAGACTCAGAAGTCGAGTGCTGAACTTCCCATGAAAATCAAAGGGAAATTCTTCACTGAAATTTAACATGTTTTGTCTCACAACTGGGGTGACCTAAGGGCATGTGCACAACCAGGTACCGTGGATCAGCCGGCGGGCTGAAACTTACCCCACCTGATTTTTCTAAACTGCATGCTTATAACTTTGTTCAGACACCGTTGAAAGATTAAAGCGGTTAAACGACGCTGTGAGTTTACCCTGTAGGGGAAAATACCCGTTTAAGCTAGACTGATGCGTGGAAGTTAAACTAAACCCGTGCAAGAGCAGGCAAAGCGTCGGCCGCCCGCAGCAGCGATCTGTCCGTTTTTGTGCACGTTACGCTGTTACAGCCCCGAATTACTTCCCCCGGACGGCGGCAGCCGGGCGCGGGGACGCAGCATCCCCGCTCCGAGAGCGAGGCCCGTGCCCGGGACGCGCGGGGCCGTGGGCGGAAGACACACACA